CCCGCACCACCCCCCTCCCGTCCTCATTCCGACCGCACCGCCACGGGCGTAAAGCCCGTGAACGGCTCCCGTGAACGGCCGTTCATGGGATTTGGGCCCGGTGACCGGTACCGGTCACCTTCACTGGGCAGGCACTGGTGTAGCCCTACCGAGCCTAAATGATGAAACGACCCTTCGGCGACGGGTCACTAGAGCGACGGTTAAGGATAAGGCCCAACGCCACCTGGAATTGATGGAAAGGGCCCTCCCCCAGTTAGGCGGAAAGAGACAGCGAATGATTGGAATAGCCCACGGACGATAGGTCCGGAGCTACGAGGCCAAAAATGGGAACGCTGGACCCCGACCTGAAATAGGAAATGTGCTCGCCAAGGCAAGTTAGCGCCACGATTCTTCGGGCGATTTCGCATAGTCGAGCTCGGTCCTAGCGGAGTGAATACGGTGCGACTTGCGCCAGAGGTCTTGGGAAGTCGATCGGCTCGAACGATCATCCGACACGTGACCTATCTTTGTCCCCTACCTCTTTCTTCGTCTTTCCCTTCGTCGACGTCTTCCTTCGATTCCGAAGAAGAAGACAACGACCTCGAACTCGAATATATTGGTTTTCCTCCCTCTCAACTTTCATCCCCAGCTTCTTCCCTATCGCCATGAGCTTTTCTACTGAGCAAGCTATCAGCGAACGACTAATGAGACCCACAGGCCACATCTCATCGATACAACAGGTGCAACGGCCACGATTAAGTCAAGATCTGCTCCGATTCGCGACTTTTTTCAGTACGGCGCCCATCCACGTGGCGGCGGAGTTTCAATTCGCAGGAACCAGCGAGCGAGCAAGAGTATTGGCTGAGGTGTCGACTTTCCTGCGGCTGCCTCCACCAGCTGTCAGCCACGTAACAGTGATCGTTGCCTTCACTAATGATCTTACGACTTTGCATCCAACGGCTCATAAAGGTGTCTTCCGGGAGTTGTGACTCTGGGCGCTGGATCTCACGGCTGCCTAGGTCCAGCTGCTAGCCCAACCAGGCGATCGGATCAACTCCATCAACGACATCGATCTCAGGGTCAACTCTGGTTCTCTCCTGACGCGCCGGAGATCGTCCTCCCGCAACTTCTTCCTTTTACGCCGCCTCAATGAACCAGCATCGACTTTCGACCTTCGAGTTTTCTTCTAATCTCCCTACCTTCTGGCGGTCCGCTGCGGACCCTCCCCTCTGCTTTTGAATCAGGTGGCTGGACGTACCAATCCTTGACGCGGGCAAGTGGGGAGAGTGGTGGCACGCGTACGTTTCGCTCAAGTTTTGCCTTCTCGAGCTGGTGTTTCATTGAGCCGAGCCGGCAGATAAAGACGAGGAAGATTAAGTTCCCAATGATGATGTGGAGTTGCTGATCATCCAAGATTGGATGACGGACACGGAGGGGGAGTTGCTGGGGATACTCTTCGAGAAAGTGCACAACGAACATGTCGAGCCGATTACAAGAGAAGTTCTGGTGTTCCTGGTTCAACTCGTGGACGATCTACCTTGAATCCTCCAAAATTTCCCTATTGGACAGGAGACGAACGGGTCTGTGAACGGGACATTGAACGGGCCTTAAGCGCAATCCCCTTTCCCTCCCAATTCCCTAGCTCACACGTAACCCTCGTTATCGCCGAGCCTGGTATCGTCATCCTTGAAACAGACTTCCCTCCCTACCGCCTCGTATTGCCTTTTCATTGCCTGACTGCTGTCCCTTGGCACGCGATCGCCCCCTACTGGCCCCGAACCTCGTGCTCCGAGTGCCAGCAAGACAGCGAGTACCGAGCCACGGGATTTGTTCGACGAACCTAGACCGAGACCGAGCAGCGAGCACACAACCTCCGTCTTAGGCCGGCCTCGTCGGATTCTGAGGCAGCAACTGTTCATGCAACGTGACCCCCATAGTGTTCCACCGGTTCATCAAATCAGAACCTAGCCCCGCCACAGAACTCCGTGGGGATGGACCCGTATGGTAACTTCACTTCTGAAGGCATAAAAGCCAGACGCGCCCCGCCCCTACCATCTTGCACAACTGTCCCTGAAACTTCTTGCAGGAGATCCCAGTTCCTACCTGGGACTCCAACCCCACTTTCCTAAAATCCTTGGCACACCC